TTCAATATTTGAACAGAATAGATTCTTACATTAATAATTGGAAACTTCTAAATATGCATAAAAGGGTGATGGCTTTTTGAGGCTACAGACAGAGGTGCAGTCCTGCAGCAACATTAGCAAGAGATTCTGGTCAATTCCACAGTTTCCATTCAAAACTTTGTAGGCAGCAGGAAGACTGATAAAGCTCTTCTAACTGTCCCTTGTTTCACAGATACCAGTAGAAATAAGGACTGGATTGAAAATAGGAACCCGCTTTAACAGACAAGAAAAGTCTACAAAAAATAGACAGACAACCCAGCAAAAAACGGAATCCTGGAGACATTCTTCACTTTTGAGGTCAAGGAAACTTGGACATAAAACTGAGAAAAGGGTTTCAAAGTCCTTTCAAAACCAAGACATAATTTTCTTCTGTGGAGCCACATGAACGAGCTGTCTTCCCAAAGTGATATCTAGGGAATTAGAATCTCTTTATATAATTTCAACAAATTTACTGATCACAAACATAGGTCAGTCTGTTATTTAACAGAATAACCTAAGTAAATTTGAATTATACGGTCACAATTACTACTTTCCACTTCTATAGTACATTTTCAGTAGTAATTCAATAACTTAATTTTCAAGTGTTGCCCATGTCATGAAAATCCCACTATATTCCACCTCTCTCCTGTTTTTTCGTTAAGTCTCAAGAGAACACCATCTGAGTAGCTGAACAGAATGGACAGTAATTGTAAGGGGGGAATGGGTAAAGAAAGAAGCAATAGGGACACAAAGCTGACCTAGGAAATTAAACCAAGTATTAAAAAAAAAAAAAAAAAGTGTTTGGATCAGTCCCCTGATCTCAATGACAATGGCTTTTGAGCTATTAAATTATGCTTCCTCCCTGGATTATTAATGGATTGGCCACAGGGTAGGGAATTTACACAGGACCTAGTATCATCAGCAGAAATCTGTAGGGTACTACTCCTTTTAAACAGTGAGTAGCAAAAAAAAGCTAGATCAAAATGGAGAGTATATTGGAGAGTAGCAAACGTGGTGCTTAGGTGTAAGAAGAAAGAAGCAAGTGACCTAGGCAATTGTTATCCTGACTTCAATGTATGAAAAGTTGGGGGTTTTCTCTTTTTCAATTACAAGGTAATTAACAAGGAGGACAATTAAAAAAAAATCAGGATAATTTCAACATAACTTTGAAAAGACATGTTAGTCTGGAGCAAGTAAGTTAACTATGAAAAGCAAATATTAAGGTAAAGGAAATCCAGACTCCAATCTCACCAGATTTCAGTAAAGAATTTGATATGGTTTCACCTAGCAATTATTTACTGAGTTGGAAAAGATAGGGTGTAACACAAAAATGAAGTGAATATAAAACTGACTAACGGTGACATATTGAATGGACTTACTTAAAATCTTTCTTCAGACTCACCTTATCTCATGTCTATGAATCTGAAAAAAAATAGAAGTGTTTTGATAAAAACTGGTTATAGGAAGCACTCTTGATCCAGGGCAGGCTCTCGCTAACTTACAGAATAAATTGGAGAACCATTGGGACAGGCATATTAGAAATGGGAAAACATTTAGCAACTCTTCAAAGCCACGTGATTACAAATAGCAGAATTTCTGTGATTACATGGTGTCTTATCACTTGAGAGCAACAGAAGAGAAATCATACACCTGTGTCTAGTTTACTGCAAGAAGATTAAGCCAACCTGGCATACCTGTAAATCAAACTTGATCTTCACCAACATCTGATAAAGTATTTTCAGTAGACCAAGTGGAGCATTAGCACTATTATTCAGGAATTTGAGGAAACACTTCAGGTACAAGGTATTTGATGCAGGTGAGGTATGTTCAGAATTCAGGAGAATCAAGTTACTAGGCTCTATAGCTTCCTATTTATTCTGTTTTACGAGACAGACTAAAAGGTGCTTGCTCTGCTTGTTTGATCCTAGCTCACAAAAGCTGAGGAAGGCACATGATCAATGCTTATAATTTATTGAGGGCTATACACCAAGGAAGGAGTTGGTTTTAAATAACAATATTGAGATACTAAAACTTAGGAATCAAAGCATATATTTAGGCTGGAAGTTCAAAGAAAGTTAGTAAGCATTAGGAGAGAGATTCTGAAACATCTTTCCAGAAAGAGCAACAGGACAAAGTACTTAACCAGCTTTAAGGTAGACTGTGGTGACTTTATGGCTGAGATTAGATAAGATTGTTGCCTAACTCAGAAAGGCCTTTTTTTCAGCCCTGAATTACTACGATGAAGAACTGCTCCCTATTCTGCTCTCCCTCTTCCCAGTCTTTTTGTTCCCTCCATTCCCACTAAAGTTCAACTGGGGCTATGAGAGGACTACATGCAATTTTTTATCTTTAAGAGAAAACAGTCTTAAGACTTAAACCCCTACCCCTCTAGTTTACATATTTTTATAGAATGTTGCACCAAAGCAGATGACTAGAAGCTCTCCTTGAGATCAAAAGATTTAATCAGCAACTAAACAGAGCAGTGCATTGCGAACATACTGAATTATATTACCTCTTTAGATCTTCATTAAATATTTGTCCTCCTTGCCAGTTTAATGGATTCCTACTTACTATATAACCAGCCAAAAAAGAAATTTGATTGTACTCTGCGCACACATGCCTCAAATGCTGGCCCTATCCTTTCTACATTGATGTTGCTATCCAAAAACTTCACATAAGCTTCTGTTAGGACATACAGCTACCCGTGCCCCTTGTAACATACTACTTTTTATGTTAATCATTGAATAACCCATTCAAAAGTTTTCTTATGGCAGTGTGTAATTAAAAAACAGCTACAGAAAATAGAGAGGGCATATTCACATGACTACAGGTACGGACCAGTTGCCACATAGTTATTTGTATAGCATTAAGAGAATATTAAGCAATGTTGCAGACAGCTAACTCTTCTCCATTCAGCTTCTTTCAAAGCTATGTCCATCAAGAAACGTGCAGCACTATGGTTTCGTGATACAAAAAGCACGCTCAACCTGTTGCAGATGTTGGAAAGGTAGGTGGGTCTGTCATTCACTGAAGTCACCAAGCCCACAATCCATTGTATCAAACACAGTCAAGTCATTACTATATGCACAATAAAGTCACATGACTGTAAACACATCTCTCTACATCCTTCTGGCTGACAAATGATTTTTTCATTTTAGATTAGAAAAGAAGCAAATGCTTTTCCAATGTAACTTGATCCACACTTTGGCAGCCAAACATAAATTTCATTTAAAAATGTACACTGGAGTGAAACTTAAGCAGTGACAGAAATTGTTCAAACCCCTAATTTTTCAGAACTTCCATGTTATCCATGTATGATCTATGTAGCCAAAGCACTGGCCAGGACAATGCTGGTTACACAGAAGACGTATTTCTATTACAGTGCTATCTCAGACCAATAACTGTCCACCACTTAATATACTTTGGCCACTCTGGCGACTGTTCATGATAGCATTTCCAGTTAGAGATAGAAGAATCAGAGAAGAAAACAAATTGCTATCCTGTCCAAGTTCAAAGACAAAGCTAACAAAGTCCACCTTTATTGACTGTCATTTCACCTCTACCATCTCTTTTTCTGTGATAAACCAAATCCTCAACAGAATCTCTTTTAACTGGTTTGTTATAGACTAAACCGAGGCTTTCACCTTAAATGTCATAAACTGCTGTATATGTGAGTATGACTTAGTTCAACAATGACATGCAGTCTTGGATTTGACAGAAAGACTCCATTTCAAAATTTTTCTTCCCCTCTGACTAGTCTCCTTTTAAATTTTTGTCTTTTTATTTCTGGCTTGTGCTTATTTTTGGCTCCCTGATTTTGTTGCTGTAGAACAGTGGTATGAAAACTACTGCATATACGCTTGGTTTCAATGTAAGCATATTGAGTGGTTAGCCTAGCTTATATGTTCTTGCTTACCTCATAGATTTCTGGGTTATTATGAGTTTATTTTACTAGTATAGCCCTCTATTGCCACACACATACACACACTTTTACAATAAGCTCACAACTTATGAAACTTGCAAATCACATGTGCTGTTGAGGAACACAAGCTCCTTAATTCCCTCATTCTGATGACATGGCTTAATGCAATGTACAGTCTCCATCGATAACACACAACATCTTTTTAATCAGAAGGCAGTATTTTTACATAATTGGAACAAAAGAACTTAATAATATTTGCCACTTAATAATATTATCAAAAACATGTTAGGCTACTAAAGCAATTAACCCCAATCTAAATTAGTTCTATCTGAAATGACAAAACCTCAGTCTAGTTTTGCCAGCAACTAGTCAGATATATGAAAATTCACTGATGTCATAAAACGAAAGTATTAATAACTTCCACAATATGAAACCATGACCTTATGAGCCTAAAACCCCCATTTCCTAATTTATGGAGAAATACCTGCCACAGGAATAAATAGCCCTAAACACAAACATCTTACTGAAGAGTAGTTCTCCCCCGTTTAGCTCATTTAACAGGCAAGTGTCAAGAACTATTACAGTACTGTCTTAGGAGGAGTAAGCTAAATTCCTGGAAGCAGCTTATCACATTTAAAAAGTTTTTTTCAAAGGATGGAAATAATCAAAGCAGACATCACACAGATTTTAGTTGCCGCAGTTGAGAAAGTCAACCTTTTCAGTGGAAGTTGTGGTCTCCCTAGTCCAAGTTTCCTCCATTCTATCTCAGAAAATATGGTTTTGCACAGACTAAAACTGAAAGTAAAATTCAACAGCCTGGTTATTCTCAATCCTTCCATGTGTAGCAAAAATAAGAGGACATACGTGATTCTGAAGCATCATCCTTATACTGTCAACCACTTCCAACTCTGCAAGAGATTTCAGGCCATAATGTGTAAATCATTACTACGTTCTCTAATGGTACTTTCTATTTAATCAGGAGAGAAGAACCCCCCCCTCTAGAATTACAATAAATAACTACAGTTTAGTTTTAAATGAAATGATGGAGTTTATATCTGACCTGAGTTTCGGTCTTTTCCTAGTGGGAAATATAAATTCAGCATTTGGATACATAATCCTACGGCTCTCAGAAGCCGACTCCACCGCGAACACTTCACATGATTTATAGCTCTCCTCCAGATTCAGATGACAAGCCTCGGCGGAGCAGGTGCAACGGGGTATTTTTTCCTTCCTTCAGAGATCATTCCCTCGTATGTAAATTAATTAGCAAGTCTTCATCACTCTCGCGTAAGCGGGGAAGATGAAGCTAATGGGTTATCAGCGTTTAATTTCTCACACGGAGCGGGTGACCCGGCAGCCCGGCGGAGGGAGCGGGCTCGCTGTTGTTACTGCTGAAGCCACAACGTTTTTGACAGCGTCAGCGGCGACGAAAGTGAGCCTGGCTCCCGCGGAGTTATGCCAAGAGAGCAATTTTTAAACCACGGGCAGCATTTGGGGGGGAACCTCCGCGACGAGAGGCGAACACCCCCCCTCTCCGCCCCGCCGCCCCCGCCAACAGGCGCATTTCTTCCCCCCCCTCCCGGCAAGTTAAAGCTGCCCTGCCAGCGCCGCCGTGCCCCCTCCACACCCGCCAGCCCTGCCCTCTTCCCTGGCTGCCGGGGAAACGGGGAGCGAGTCCCGACTCCCTTTACCTCCTCCGGAGCCATGGAGAGCGGTGCGGCCGGGGCCTCGGCTCCGCGCGGCTGGCGGCGGCGGCTCCCCGCCGGAGCGGAGGGGAGCGGAGGGGAGCGGAGCGGAGTGGAGGGGCCGGCGCTCTCCTCACTCCCTCACCCCGCCGCGCTACGCCTCGAGCCGGCGGCACAGCCCGCTCCACATAAATGCATTAACAGCAGCCACATCATGATTAATTCATCAGTCCCAGTGACCAGAGGAGGAGGCACGCGGAGGGGAGCGGGGGCTGGGGAGAGGCAGGGTGCACGGCAGCGTCCCTTCGCCCGGAGTTCACCCCCCCACACACACACCTTCCCCCACTGGCGCAGGGCTCCGCCAGCGCGGAGGGAGAGAAGAGGAGAGGAGAGGAGAGGGGAGGGGAGGGGAGGGGAGGCTGCGCCGAGCGCCCGGCTCGCCGCGGCTGCCCGTGCCCGGCCAGGTCTAAGGGAGAGGGAGGCGGACTCCTCAGGGCA